TGTTTCATTAAGCGAAACGAGTTGCTTTGTGTATAATTATTAATGTATGTTTTAGTCAGTGAATGTGGATTATTTTTACAATGGGGGAAACAACACAGATTTTTTTATATTTTTCTATTGCAGCAGTATGTCAGTATAAAATATCGTATTTTACATTAAACGTGGATGCGGTCCATCATTTTTATAACATCATGTTCACAAAACATTTACATTTTCAATATAAAAAAAATTTAATAAAAAATATTCTGATTAAAACGAAAGAATCAATATTATATATTTAATATGCAAAAAATGATTTAAAATAATATTGACTTTGCAATTGGAATTAATGAAATGAATTTTATATTTTTTTTATTGCCATGTGAATTTCATCCATATTAGCAATTTTCAGCAAAAGTAACAGATTATTTAAAAAAAAATAATTACGCATTATGCACCTATGCAGGTTTTCTCTGAAATGAAAAACTCATGGCTCTTAAAAATGAAAGTCAGTACAATAGGCGTCTTATCGCTAAAGACTTATCTTCCAGACAACCTTTGGTTGGGTAGGACTGTAAAACAACTGAAATACACAAATACAAGTAGGTCGGCTGGCTATGCATTTGGAAGATTAAAACTACAATATATTGTGTTAGTTATTATAGCGGGCTTTCGTAATACATTTCTTACCCCTCCGAGAAGAGCGTTAGTGGCGAGCCTCGTCGTTGGATTCTCTCCCCGAGATTCTTCACATGACTAGCTGTGAAGGGACAGTAGCGAAATGTTTCAGGATTCGGTCAAGGTCTTATATAAACCCGCCATTTGACTACTGATCCACTCCTAACACAATTTTTTTGTTAATTTTATTACGAGTGATAGTAATGTTAAGAATCCCCATATACTCATTAAGAGCTATTAGCAGTTTTAAATATATTTATCATTTTACCTCAGGCAACATATTATTTTATTTATATTATCAGCAGCATCGAGCTCGAAGGACCATAAAGATGTACGTTACACCTAAGATGCTGCTGCTCATAATATAAATAAAATATGCTGCTTGAGGTAAAATGATAAATATATTTAATAATTAAAAATGTTGTACAACCGAATCTAATATAAATTATTAAGAACAGCTCAAAAACTATTGGTCAGAACTTGATCAAATTTATATGGGACCACATGAGAAGCACCAGCTTTCAAATAAAAACAGAATCATCAAAATCGGTTCACTCAGTAAAAAGTTATGAGGTAACACACATAAAAATAGCATACTGTCGAATAGAGTACCGTCTCCTTTTTGAAGTCGGTAGAAAACTGCTAATAACTGATAATTAGTACACGAACGCTCTGTGTGGCGATGCTATGTGGACTGATTCGATGAACAATAAAAATAAGTAAACGAGGCGATAATGCTGATCGGGCGATATGTGCGCTTGCACAGTACACTAGGATTCCGTTTAACTTCACTTCTTGTTCAGCCACAAATTCCACTGCTGCAGATGGACGTCGCGTCGTTAAGAGGATTCACCTAAATCGCTACAATTGACTTGCGGATGGTCGATTTCAGTACCATACCCTTCGTGGATTATTTTTAACTTCACGTCGTCATTATCAACCTGTAAAAATCCACTGTTGCACATTGGGCTGTCCCGTTATTGGGAGAATTCCCCTTAATCGCCTCACTTGATTGGCGATCTCTGTATCAGATGTATTTCATCTTTGACGATGCTTCCTGTCGCCGGTCTGACTTTTTTATAGATTAAGGGTGACAAACGAGCACACAGTCCACCTGATGTTAAGTGGTTGCTGTGGCCCATAGACATCTACATCTATCTTCGTTTGCGAATTAAAATGCAGACGCGTTGTCAGCCGTGAGGACTAAGAGAGAATTCCTCTTATCCAGTAAAAAGGGTCTCCGGTTCTCTACACTCACCATACGAAACTTACGCTGGTATTTTGTGAGAGCGTGGTCCTTCCCCGGTCGAGCCGACCCATTTATGTCTTGCTTAAGTAAATAATATTGTTATACTGTCATTTATCGAAAACCATTATCTCCTAGTGGATTTACTGTTTGTTAAAACTACAACTAACAAAAAAATAACTAATAGAATCAGGCGTTACTTTGCGGAAATCCATTATATAAAAGCTTTTAGGAAAATTTACTTCGCAAATATCCGCGTTATAAAATAAAATGATGTGTCTTACCTAGTATGAAGAGCACCTCCCGCCCTCCCTGAATTGCGTGCACGTGGTGACGGGGATAGTGCACGCAATTCAGGGAGGGCGGGAGGTGCTCTTCATACTAGGTAAGACACATAATTTTATTTTATAACGCGGATATTTGCGAAGTAAATTTTCCTAAAAGTTTTTATAAAAAAATAACTGTTAATACCTTATTTATCATCGCATCAATATATTATGCGAAATTATAGTATGCAAACTATGGATTTAAAACACTGCGGATCACTTCATTGCTTGTTTTTACATAAATTTGTCTAGCCTGTCTTATTATTTCTTTTTAGAAGCTGGGATTCCTTAAAATTTCAGCTTTTAAGCGTTCCTTAAAATATTATTCTAAAAAAGGGTTTAGTGTGTAATATATTCCCGTTAAATATTATTCTAAGTGTTTAGCGTGTAACACATTTACATAAAGTAGAGAAATGTCAGCGTTTTGTAATTAAGTAGTAGAAAGATAATCGTCACACTGTGGAACTGCATCCGTACGAAGCCGAAGCACATTACTTACTATAAAAAATATCATATGAATGACATAATCAAAAGAACCACAAGATAATTAAATTTTGAAAATGTACAAACATTTCTAATAATATATCAAGCTGAGCATTGACTTCTTATATTGATTTAATTTATAAACACAATGATTGAAACATAAACAGGTTGATAACTCGAATGTACACAAACAAAGTTGCATGATATTACTAGTTAATCGATAAATTCCGCACAGTTCCGTCGTTTGAGTCACGAGACTTGATAGCATCCTGTCTTTAATTACGTTCATATAATATATTAATATAAATTGTGCGATTACTAAAAGGAAGCTTGCGTATTTCTCGTCGGTCATATTATATTTTGTTGTGACGACCAGTTAGGTCAGGGTACTTCCTTGCTTCGGGGATGATCCGTCGCCTGTGTCATATAAGACCTACAGATGACGTCTGCAGTGCTCCAACGCCACTCTGCTCAAAATAAAGACAGGATACCTCCATCTTTTTTAGAGAGCAAAGAAGCGCGGCATGGGCATAGTATTCGTTCCCAAAGCATTAACACAATGCGAAGAGATAAATCGGTGTTCAGCGTCCATGGCGAAATTTAACCACAAATTAAACCTTTGAAATTTTCTCCTCTATAAACGGAGCTCAGTTTTTTTTATAACAATGGAATCCCTTAGTGAGCTCTTTAACTGGTTTTATGTACTGATATTAAAAAGATTTGTCTGTAATCAGTCCAATACGTATTTTCCGCAAGTTTTCGCCACATTCGTAACGTAAGCAGATTGTGTTTTTATACGTGGTAGAACCACGCTGCAGCTATATTATGGTTGTAACACGAATGGGTCGGCTCGACCGGGGAAGGATCACGCTCTTACAGAATACCAGCGTAAAATAGAAGCTTAATGCTGCTGTGTTTCGTATGGTGAGTGTAGAGAACCGGAGATCCTTTTTACTGGACACGAGGCATTCCGTCTTAGTCCTCACTGGTGAAAACGCATCTGCATTTTGATTCTTAATCGAGGATAGATGTAGATGTCTATGAGCCGCAGCAACCACTTACCATCAGGTGGACTGTGTGCTCGTTTGTCACCCGTATCCTATAAAAAAAAGCAGATGAAGACAGCTTGGTGCTTCACACTCTACTGCTTATAATAATTTTTTTTTATTATATTATCCCTACAATTGTTATTTTTTTTAATTCCATACTGTCTATCGAAAGTCCAATGTAGAACGTATAGACCTTCCCATTGATCACCTCATAGGCCCATGTTAACTCTAGTAGCTACGCTCGGCATGCGGGTTAGTAATCTCTGATTTTGTTATTTTGAATTTGTCAGGAGTTGTTTTTAAGTTGTCAGGAAGATGCTGCTGTCCATCTCCTGTTTAATTTTGCCTCCGTTTCTTTTTACAACAGCTATAGGATGGTATGGGCTAGTGGATTCTCACCTCACGGCAAATTAATCCTAATAAGTACTAAAATTTCAAGTAAGTTTGTATAAATTATTAATTTACATAAGTGTTAAACTATTTATTTGTGTTGATTGTATAATATTAGAGAGCTTGTTAAGGGAAACTTTGTTGTGAAATTCAACATTGGAACCACCGGATTTCTGTTGTTTAGTTGAGGAATTGTTAACTGAAGGAAGGGGCCAATTAGCGTAGTATCATTTTGATTAGGAATATTATGATGATTTAGAGGACAAAACTGTCATTAGGTAGTTATATTATTTAGGTTTTTAGAAATTTAGGTTGACCAGTAAGCCTTTATCGTTAATGTAGTGTTCAACCGACTTCAAAAAGGAGTAGGTTATCAATTCGACTGTATTTTTTTGATGTGTGTTACCTCAGAACTTTTTCTAGGGGAACCGATTTTGATTTGTGCTTTGCGTCACCCTAGATTTTCTGCGATGTGGGTGCTGTTAGCAAATTGGCTTTTACAGCTTCATTGGACTCACGGCACTCATGATCATAGAGGACTTAACATACAAATATCATAGCTTTAACAATGGCTACCTTCAACATAAAATAATTAATTTTTGGTGGAATCTTTTTTTTTTATAAAAAACATTTTAATAGGTAATAGCCTCTAAATTTTCGATGGTTGGATATAAATCGGAATTTGCTATAATCGCGGTCTCTTTAGTTTTATTCCCGCTCATGTTTAAGAGAGAATTTCGTCATATCAGTAAAATAAAGAAAGAAGAAACAATCTTCTTTGTTCCTACTACTTGGCACAAAGCTATCATTTTTTATCCATTTATTAATTAAAACAAAATTATTTTCCAGTTCCGTCCGCACCGCAAAATCTAACAGCAAACAGTGTGACAAGCGAAGTTATCCACCTCTCGTGGACCCCGCCAACCACTTTCACCCTTCACGTGCGCTCCACAACAAACCCTGGCCTTGACAATGACGACACAACCAAAATTGAACCAGATCTCACCGTCATCGAGAAGACGAAACAAGATACCCAATCCGACGAACCGCTTGATGACGTAATTGAACCTCACGCCTCTTTAACCCATGCTCCCATAAGTCCAGAAAAACTTGACGATTCACCCTACAATTGGTACAAGAATGACAAACAGAAATATAATGACGGGTACTCCAATTCCGATATTTTGTTTGACAAAGCGTACAGAAGCAAAAGAGAGAGACGCTCTCATAGACACAGAAAAAGAAGACAGGATAGCAATTCAACGGACTCGAACATATTACATCTGGAGAAAGTTCTTGAAGACACGCATCAAGCTTTCGAGGTTCCAAAAGAGGTGGTGAAGAAAGCCTCATCGAATATTCTGCATAAGGATTTTACGCAAATCGCTTACGTTCTGTACTATGAGGAAGGGGTCCCAAAATACAATGCTGCGTCAGTAATTGGCGTTCAGACATCTTCCGATGTAAAGAGAAACAACGTGTTTCCCAGTGACTTGGGCATGGAGAGCTATTCCAAAGCAACGAGAAACTTAACGTTGCTTAACAATTCGGGAGTGCTTACTAAAGCCGTCGGTTTCAGGCTAAAGGATTTGAGTAAGTTTTGTTATTATTTTAAGTTTAAGCCGACTTCAAAAAAAGGTGGTTAATTCCACTGTATGATTTTTTATATGTATGTTACGCCGTCGTCAATTGTGAACAGATTTTGATGGTCCCATTTTTTAATAAAATATGATATACTGCAGGGATAAACCCATATAATTGGTAGAAAAAACTAATAAAGTAAGGTGGCAAGGTAAGGTGGCAAAATAGGGGATGAAGTTTTTAATGGAACTATTTAGCCGACATTGAGATTGTGATACTACTAATGCCGGGATTCTATATTAAAAACGCTTCGTTTTATTTTACGAGACGTTTTGCAGTAAATGAAGTGCACAAAAAGTGAAAACCTCTTTTTTTTTTTACAAAAAGCAAGTTCAACTTTTTATAAACTTAAAAGATTTTTCATACCTAAGTCATCCCAATTTGCTGAATGTATAGTCGTCGATGGAGATTGTTACGGAGATCTAAACGTTTCTTAAATATAGAAATCCAGCATAAGACCACCCAAAATCATCATCATCATCGTTACAACCCTTAACAAGTTCACTGCTGAACATAGACCTCTCCCAAGGTCATGCCACAAAGCACGGTCCTGAGCCACATGCATCCATCGATATACCACCTAAAATCGTAAAAAAAAATAAAAAAAGAAGGAAAATGACTATAAGCAACTACAGTTTCAAATTCTGAAATCGGGGCTTCAATTCTTCTGTGTAATAGTATAGTGTAAAATGTTCTTACTGCCTGCCTCATTACTCTAGTGGTCGTAAATGCGATTGCCGATCATGAGGTTTTATACCTAGTAGAGCCATGCTGCAGCTATATTAGTAGTATAGTTGTAGCACGAACGGGTCGGCTCGACCGGGGAAGGACCACACTCTCACAGAATACCAGCGTAAAATAGCAGTTTAACACTGCTGTGCTTCGTATGGTGAGTGTAGAGAACCGGAGACCCTTTTTACTGGAAAAGAGGCATTCCAACTTAGTCCTCACGGGTGACAACGCATCTGCTACGCTACGCTCTTGCACTATAATCCTGTCCTGTGCAGAAATTCGGTCTGGAGGACATTATTATTATTTTCTAACACCGCCACTACACGCAACTACCAAACCTTAGTACTTCTCGGTGTTACTCACTGCTTGCAGTATTATCCTTAACCGACACGTACGACACCAGAGATAATGTCTGGCATTGCGGCCGTCTTTACTTCTTAGCCATTATATCGTGACCTTGAAATCTAGCGATGTTCAGATATTTTTTCATTATCCGTGGGCCAGTCTATTTAATGAACTTCACACTTGAGATGTGAAAATTAATTAGCGGTCGGCTAAGTGCCAATTAATTTCAACGTAACTCCTGGTTGTGTTAATCAACTATAAACTTCCTAGGGAGCATTAGGAATAATTTTAAAACATTCTTATAAGAGATATATTCGTCTACGTAAATGATACACTAATTCTATTTTGATATGTTTCAGAACCGTTCACACCTTACAAGATCTGGGTCCGTGCATTTTATAAATTCTTCTCGCTAAGTGGTGTCAGTTCTTCTGACTTGTTAGATCGTCTAGGCCCAAAGTCAGAACCGCTCTATGTATTGACTGATGTAAGGCCACCGTCTGCACCCATAATACTAAACTTCACCTGTGATCAACCTAATGGTAAGTCCTCGTAGTTTTCTGCAATTCAGACTGACTAGTAAAATAAGAATAGATTTTAATGTTTAAAAATAACCAAAAACTAAAATATTTGTTTTTATTTCTAAACTTTCAATTATTTATCATTCACATGTGGATAGTCCACTAAAAGTGATGTGTCTATATGATAGATTTCTCAGCATGAAAGGAGCCCAACCATTCAGTAACCCATAAAACTTTATCATTTTAATTTTTTTACTGCTTTGCGGCACCTACCTCAAATTTTCACCACTCCATGGGTCGATTAGTAGATAATACTTAAAGTCATTAAGTCCGTTCCTTTTATGTTATTTTGTAACAAAGAATGCAATATTAATTAAATAATTAAGAAAAATCTTTAAGTAAGGTACATTTTTTGTTCTAAAATTACGCAAATTCAATTCATTTCTTCAGGATTACTTTACATACAATGGCGTCAACCCCTGGAGTACAACAACTCGTTGGACCAGTATGTGGTGACACTTAGGAAAATACCAGAACAACAGCCGCGTACAAGACTGACAATGCCTACCAACAAGACCGACATAGATACCGCTATTAGTGTGGTAAGCTGTCATATATTTCTTTATGTATTCCGTTAAAATTTATAATATATTTATCGATATTAATGGTAATAAAACTTTTTATTTGTCTCACATAGTTAAAAAATGCACAAAATAAGATCATTACAAACTTAGCGTAAAATATACTTAAGTATAACAAAAAATAATGTGACAAATTGGCCTGTGACTCAGATGTATGGTGATTTGAGGTCACCGCTGGTATTCTGTCACAGCCGACTTTTAAATCTGTACATACCAAGGACAGTATTTTAACTTAATTTCGGCATTGACGTACAACAACACTAATCATTATATATATTATATGTGCTATGTAAATTTTGGTAAATTTATGTATATAAAACCTATTACCTGCCTCCAACTTTTGTGGTTCAAATATAATAGGCATTGTATTTTTTTCTTATTCAACATTTTAGAGGCGGAGTATTCAAAATAGCCTTTTGTTTTAACATGTTTGTAAGTTGGAAATATAATATATGTAGTATAATAATTTCGACCTACGTCTCAAACAAACATTTTAAAGATAATTGCTCATGTAAATAATGAGGTGATTGCGAATTATTTAATAAGTGTACAAAACAAGCATATTCTAGATATCTGGTGTAATAAATAATAATAGAAGTATCTATTTCTAATTTGAATATGGTTAAAAGAAAGGTTTTGTGTATTTAGCAAGCTACAATTACCGAAAATATTTTTCTTATTCCTTCGATTAATAATTGTTCCTACGATTTCGCTTTTATTTTAATTTTATAATTCTTCCTCACAGACGGTGGAACTTTGGAACGTTACGCGTTATGAGGTCAAGATCTATGCCGTCACTCTGTCAGTAGCAAATCCCAACACGCTTATAAACGGATCGGAATCCCCTCCTGAGGTAAAATATTATTTTACTGTTTATGTTTTTGTTATATTTTTTAGAAACAAGGAATTCACATTGAAATATACATATAAAATATGTAATATTACGTTTATAATATTGTTAATAATAGTATTTTTAGAATACAAAACCTGCTCTTTTTTGACAATCTTTAGCTTAGTAATTTTGAAGTGATATTTTAAGCTTGACTGTGTAATGCCAGTGTATGAATATCCACCTACCCTATATCCTCCCCGAGGGTGTTGTAAGAGACGAACTATGAGATGGGCAGCCGTTTTATTTCTATAGCTGTTATCAGGAAGATAACAGCTATAGAAATAAAAAAATGCGGTTGACAACCCGCCTGGCAAGCGTGGCAGCTATGGCAGGTGTCGCAATCTATGTGGAAGCCATTGTACAGTCGTGGACTTTGATAGGTTGTAATGATCATGGTTGTGATTTTAAGCTATCTGTCAGATGGGCGAGTATTTTCTTAACTATTGAAAGTTCGCGAGGAAGGGTGGTGAATTCGCCGTCATCACATGACGCATCTCCATTATTAAAGTCTATTCCAATGCAATATTATATGAATGTTTTATTTTATAGTAGAGGGGGCAAACGTGCATGCGGCTCACCTGATGGTAAGTGACTACCGCCGCCCATGAACAATCGCAACACCAGGGTAATTGCAGATGCGTGCCGGCCTTTTAGAAAGGTGTAAGCTCTTTTCTTGAAGGTCCCTAAGTCGTATCTGTCCGGAAAAATCGCCGGTAGTAAACAATTCCACAGAGAAGTTGTACGAGGAAGAAAAAGGTGAGGATGGTATCGTGAATTTTGACAATATGTGCGTTCGTGAAATTTGGTGGCTGGAATTAATCCGAACAATTCCTCAAAGCATTCCCCGTGGTAAATTCGATAGAAAATGCAAAGGGATGCAACATCCCTACGCAGTGTCAGTGTATCGAGCCGATCAGAAAGAACTCGGTCGTTGACGATTTGAACCGCTCTGCGCTGGATGCGGTCAAGTGGAAAGAGCTGGCACTAGGGTGCCCCGACCCAGAGATGAGAAAAGTATTTCATGTGAGGCCGAATTTGCGCTTTGTAAAGTGCAAGCGATGTGCCGGCACGAAATACTGTCTCGCTCTGCTGAGCACGTCAAGCTTTTTAGAGCTCAATTTGGCCTTCCCTTCCAAATGACCACGAAACTGCACACCATTCTATATGTCGACGCCGGGGTTTCCGATGCTAGCTGAGGTAGCAAGGTGCCTTGAAACTAAGGAGATACGACAAATGGGTTCTTTTTAGCGGTAAACGCGCAAACTTATGTCTTCTGGGGATTGAACTAGACTAGATTTAGTCGCCCACAATCCGAGACTTTCCAGCAAAGACTCGACTTCAGACACCAGTCACCAGACCAGGTGGTGCCAGTAGCAGAGGACGATACGCAGACGCAGAGACGATATATTTTTTTTTTTTATAAAATTTATAATTTTAATATATTTTGTTGGGTATAAATATTTTGTTGGGGTGACAAAAAAAATTAAAATAGCTTTTTTTATAATTTTACATTAATAAATGAGTAAGTGATCCGTAATTTACGATTATAAGAAAAAAATACCTTTGGGATAACAGCGTAATTTTTTTAGTTCGAATAAGAAAAAAGTTTGCTACCTCGATGTTGGATTAAGATAATTAAAGTTTATCTTAATCCAACATCGAGGTAGCAAACTTTTTTTCTTTAAAATTTTTAAAACGTTTAAAATTTTTAATAAGTTCAATCATTAAAATCTTACATGATCTGAGTTCAAACCGGTGTAAGCCAGGTTGGTTTCTATCTTTAAATTGATGTAATATTTTAGTACGAAAGGATTACATTTACACATTAACGGCTATAGCTGAGTAAGTAATATCATTAAGTACATGGTATGCTACTGTTTTAGAATCCTCATGATGTAGGAAAACTTTTTAAACGGTTGGCCACACAGATCCCATACGTTTTTTTTCACCACAGGTGCTCAAACTTAGGAGTTAAATAAAGTAAAAAATTAAAACATGTTTAGTGCCGTCTTGTAAAATACTACCCATAGTAGTTGAAAACTTTTAAGGGTAACACATTAAAAGAAAAAGATTTGATCTAGGCATTAAACTGCGGACTTTATGTCCACAAATGTGAGCAGAAGTACGAATTTTCGGAATTTTATAAAACATGGCGTAGAACGCGAGCCGCTTGGGATAGAATTTTTTATAGGGAGCCGAGGCCACCTCCTGGTCGCCCGAACACGTACGTACTAGATTATCCACCATTACTGGGACAACCTGTATAAAGATGCATCGTAACAAACATCTACTCCTCATTAGCCAGTATAGTCTACTCTTGGACATGGGTATATCCCATAGTAGATAAATTTTGTCATAATCGCCATGCCTGGCATATTGAAGTAATACGTACTAGAACAGCTTTTTCAAGCAAAAAATTTGCGCTACTCATGTCTTCGCGCATGCGCAGGGGAGAGTAATGTGGCGCATGCGCGGTGGGTTTTTATCATAGATTATATACGTGGGTAGAATGATCAGTATGTTATAATAGATTGTATTGTTATTTATGGAAATTATATCGAGTACAATTTTTAAAATTTGTCATTTAATTTGCATATAATATGTGCTAATTTAATATAATATTACATCAAAATCATTTTAATTATATTTTTTATTTTATATTTATTAATATCACAATTACATTTTAATTATATTTTTATTTTAATATTTTAAAAGATAACATTGTAAAATATAACAACATACTAAATATATGTTTAACAAAGTTTATTAATATAACATTTAATTTACAAATATATTTATTTAGATTAGAATAAGAGTCGTTCATAAATGCTGGGCACGTGAGAGTCAAAAAATGGACGAATTTATTCCACTTTGCCATGTTTTCATGGCTAGGACGCGGAAACCTAAAAATAAGACTACTAGAGAACTACTGCCGACAAACTGTAACGCAGTTTGTCAGATGAAAATGTTAAAAACTTGTATTGTATAATTGAAAGAAAATAAATAAAAATAAAAGAATAATCAACAAATTTAAACATCAGAAATTTAGCCTAATTATAAATACTTCTACTTGTTTCAATAGAAAATTTTGTATTTAAGCGTCATAATATTAATCGTCCTAAACTTAACCACAGAAAAGCGCATCTGAACAAATTTTATTCCATAATCTATATTACTTGACACGAGATGGCGTTAATTTGTTAATTGATTATTAATCTATAATACTTTTTTTATTAATTAAGTGTCTTATTCTCGGACAATAAAGTTATTCCTTGGGATTTGCTAACAATTCTTGAACTATTTGTGCAACATCTAAAACACAATATAGCATATTTTATCAAGAGTTTTTTTTTTATATAAGCTAGTGACTGAGTAAAGACATCGCCGCAATTGAATTGAACAGCGTAACTAAATGCAGTGTCGCCTCTAGTACGTAGTACATAACAGCTCAATGGCCTGGCAGGCGGTTTTACGATCGCAGCACCATGCGTCTCGCGCCTATTACGCTACTGCCCGACGCTGATATGTAGATTTTACGTCTGGCATTAACGATGTGGTTACACCGCTATTTATCGGAGAAATTGAGGTCTTCCCGGCATTTGTACGTGGTAGAACCATGCTACAAGTATTTTCTGGTTGTGATAAGAATGGGTGGGGCCGACCGGGGAAAGAACACGCTCCAACACAATATGCTTGTTCGTCACCCATATTCTACACAAAAAAGTAAAATAAAAGATAAGCCTAAGTCGCCGCTGACGACACTTACGGGACGAGGTGAGGTGACGGTAGTCAAGGGCGGATGCCGAGAGAGCTATGCCTCCCCCCCCCCTCCCCCGAATTGTGGTGTGCGTTTGGCCTTAAACCTGGTAGTATAGTTCGTATGATATGAGACTATGTGCTGAGCTCGCATTATCTTGCTGACCGATGAACGAGACAAGAACAGTTGTATTACGCACCTTGGGCTATTATAGCCAACACATACTTACAGAGTACATTTTTAAAAGTTGTTATGTTTTATAATTATCTGAAAGTATCTCGGGTTGTTTATTGCCTCCAACTTTAAATTGTTCTAAAACCGTGACAAATCCCGATAACCTAACCCAAAAATTGAAATCCTGTATCCGTCCTTGAAGCCACCATATGTCATGGATGAGACTAAAATACTTAATATTTTCATGGCAGGAAATTTCAAGTGAGTCGTGCATCGCGCACTCGGCAGCAATGTCGCCGAGTGAAGGCTCTCTGAGTGCCCGCAACGTCGGCACCGCCGCTCTACTGGCCGTCTCGTTGCTGGTTATCCTGGCTGCCATCGGGGCTGCCGTTCTCTACTGGAGGTAAGGGAGCCATATAATTTTTGCCTTGGAATTAAATTGATGGATCCATAGGGAAATAGCTGCGTGTGTAGCTGCGGTATTTCGAAATGTGTATTTACATTTTGAATCTCACATAAAATAACTATATACTAACTCCTTCATAATACAAGAGAAAATCCTAGGCAGACAAGCGAAACTCCTGCATACATAGTGACATGAAAAGACTCCACATACTTTCACCCCACATTGGAGCAGCGGAAAATCAAATATGTATTTACTTTCGACAGAAAAAAAATAACTGGTTAAACGTCTTTTGACAACTATGGGCGTATGTTTCTCTGCCTTATAAACGTGATATTTTAAAATGTTATAATATTTGTTGTTTTATGTGTAGATGCAGATCACGTTTGAGTAAATGCATCAGTGCGGCTTACAACTATCTCGAGGAAGGTGGCGAGAGAGCTGCGAGGGCGCCTTTGAATGTTTATAAGAAACCTGGTAAGTCGTAACCGAACTTTATGGCGTTCAATGGGTGACGGTGTAACCGTCTAGTAATTTTATTAAATGTCAAAAAAGTGACAAACGAACTTACAGTTTATCTGGTGGCAAGTGGCCACAGCAGTCCATGAAGACCGGCAGTTAACTTTAAATTAAAAAAAAAATACATATGCGCTGTCACTTCTGAGGATTGGGATGGAATACCTCACCTGTACCATCTAGACCAGAACATAACAGTGAAAGCACTGATATTTGTAGGCAGAAACAGCAAGAGTTTCTATTCCTACACAGGCGGCGTCTTAGACTGGGAAAGAGTTCAATCGCCTAGTACCGTCACCGATTAGGCTATCTCAAAAAGAAAATAATTGAAAAGTCAGTTTTATGAATTTTGTGAATACGAAATAAAAAAAAATATATTTTTCGATTGTATGTTAGCTTTTTTGAGTTATGTACCTTAAAAAGAAAAAATAAAAACCTTATAAGTAGGGTTACTTTGTGGTTCGTCCGCGTTTCCGTCTGATACCTTGGTTTCTCAGAAATGGAATCAAGTTAAAATTAAAATTAATACTAAACTCTTTCATCCTTTTGTATTATTCAAATGATATAAATATGCAAGTTTTTCACACATCAAAACCTATTAGTTATTAATTGTTATCTAGAATCATGAAATTTGGTAAGAATCGGCCATTTATTGAACAAATAACAGAAAAACCCGAAAAAAGTAAAAATATATTTATATATAAAAATCAATTGCTGTTCGTTAGTTTCGCAAAAATTCGAAAATGGGTGGACCAATTTTGATGAAATTTTTGTTTGAGTGGGTCTCTGGATGGTTTAGATTCACAATTGGACTCGGTTGGTGGAGCTGTAGTCGAGATTCAGAAGCAGAAGAAGGAATTGTTTATAAAATACTTCGAATTATGGTATTTTAATTTAAATATGTAATAATATAAAAAGCTTACGGCAAATGTTTGGCGACTTGGACTAAGCTATTGTTGACAACACTGTCAGTGTGCTCGCCGCTGCGTGCGGGTGCGGGCAGCGTGTGCGGCGCGGGCGCGGCGGCGGGCGCGGGGGAGGAGGCGGAGGCGGCGCGGCCGCCGCGCATGGCCGGCCCCGAGCGGCCGCCGCTGCGCGCGCGCGCCTTCGTGCGCCACGTCGCCGCGCTGCACGCCGACGGCGACATCGGCTTCAGGTGCGTACAACACAACGCGCTCACGTTGGCGTCGCGCGGCCCGGAGGCGCACGCCGGCCCCGAGCGGCCGC